GTGTAGACTGGAAACTGGAAAGTGTAGACTGGAAAAGAACTGGAAAGTGTAGACTGGAAACTGTGGACTGGAAAAGTGTAGACTGGAAAGTGTAGACTGGAAAGTGTAGACTGGAAGGTGTAAACTGGAAACTGTAAACTGGAAAGTGTAAACTGGAAACTGTAAACTGGAAACTGCCGACTGGAAACTGTAGACTGGAAACTGTGGACTGGAAAGTGTAGACTGGAAGGTGTAAACTGGAAACTGTAAACTGGAAACTGTAGACTGGAAACTGTGGACTGGAAAGTGTAGACTGGAAGGTGTAAACTGGAAACTGTAAACTGGAAACTGCCCACTGGAAACTGTAGACTGGAAACTGTGGACTGGAAAGTGGAGACTGGAAACTGTAAACTGGAAACTGTAGACTGGAAACTGTGGACTGGAAATTGTGGACTGGAAACTGTGGACTGGAAAGTGTAGATTGGAAAGAGTAGATTGGAAAGTGTAGACTGGAAAGTGTAGACTGGAAAGTGTAGACTGGAAAGTGTAGACTGGAAAGTGTAGACTGGAAAGTGTAGACTGGAAAGTGGAGACTGGAAAGTGTAGACTGGAAACTGTAAACTGGAAACTGTAGACTGGAAACTGCCGACTGGAAACTGTGGACTGGAAACTGTGGACTGGAAAGTGTAGACTGGAAAGTGTAGACTGGAAAGTGTAGACTGGAAGGTGTAAACTGGAAACTGTAAACTGGAAAGTGTAAACTGGAAACTGTAAACTGGAAACTGCCGACTGGAAACTGTAGACTGGAAACTGTGGACTGGAAAGTGTAGACTGGAAGGTGTAAACTGGAAACTGTAAACTGGAAAGTGTAAACTGGAAACTGTAAACTGGAAACTGCCGACTGGAAACTGTAGACTGGAAACTGTGGACTGGAAAGTGGAGACTGGAAACTGTAAACTGGAAACTGTAGACTGGAAAGTGTAGACTGGAAAGTGTAAACTGGAAACTGTAAACTGGAAAGTGTTAACTGGAAACTGTAAACTGGAAACTGCCGACTGGAAACTGTAGACTGGAAACTGTGCACTGGAAAGTGTAGACTGGAAGGTGTAAACTGGAAACTGTAAACTGGAAAGTGTAAACTGGAAACTGTAAACTGGAAACTGCCGACTGGAAACTGTAGACTGGAAACTGTGGACTGGAAAGTGGAGACTGGAAACTTTAAACTGGAAACTGTAGACTGGAAACTGTGGACTGGAAATTGTGGACTGGAAACTGTGGTCTAGAAAGTGTAGATTGGAAAGTGTAGATTGGAAAGTGTAGACTGGAAAGTGTAGACTGGAAAGTGTAGACTGGAAAGTGGAGACTGGAAACTGTAAACTGGAAACTGTAGACTGGAAACTGTGGACTGGAAAGTGTAGACTGGAAAGTGTAGACTGGAAGGTGTAAACTGGAAACTGTAAACTGGAAAGTGTAAACTGTAAACTGTAAACTGGAAACTGCCGACTGGAAACTGTAGACTGGAAACTGTGGACTGGAAATTGTGGACTGGAAACTGTGGACTGGAAAGTGTAGATTGGAAAGAGTAGCTTGGAAAGTATAGACTGGAAATTGTAGACTGGAAACTGTAGACTGGAAAGTGTAAACTGGAAACTGTAGACTGGAAACTGCCGACTGGAAACTGTGGACTGGAAACTGTGGACTGGAAACTGTGGACTGGAAAGTGTAGACTGGAAAGTGTAGACTGGAAAGTGTAGACGGGAAAGTGTAGACTGGAAAGTGTAGACTGGAAGGTGCAAACTGGAAACTGTAAACTGGAAAGTGTAAACTGGAAACTGTAAACTGGAAACTGCCGACTGGAAACTGTAGACTGGAAACTGTAGACTGGAAACTGTGGACTGGAAACTGTATACTGGAAAGTGTAGATTGGAAAGTGTAAACTGGAAACTATAGAATAGAAAGTGTAAGCTCTAAACTGTAGACTGCAAACTGCGGACTAGAAACTGTAGACTGAAAACTGTAGACTGGAAACTGTAGACTGGAAACTGTAGACTGCAAACTGTAGACTGGAAACTGTGGACTGGAAACTGTATACTGGAAAGTGTAGATTGGAAAGTGTAAACTGGAAACTGTAGATTAGAAAGTGTATGCTCTAAACTGTAGACTGGAAACTGCAGACTGGAAATCTGTAGACTGGAAACTGTTGACTGAAAACTGTAGATTGGAAAGTGAAGACTGCAAACTGTAGACTGTAGACTGGACTGAAAACTGAAGACTGGAAACTGTAGACTGGAAAGTGTAAACAGGAAACTGTAGACTGGAAACTGCAGACTAGAAACTGTAGACTGAAAACTGTAGACTGGAAACTGTAGACTGGAAACTGTGGACTGGAAGTGTAGACTGGAAAGTGTAGATTGGAAAGTGTAAACTGGAAACTATAGAATAGAAAGTGTAAGCTCTAAACTGTAGACTGGAAACTGTAGACTGGAAAACTGTAGACTGGAAACTGTAGACTGGAAACTGTAGACTGCAAACTGTAGACTGGAAACTGTGGACTGGAAACTGTATACTGGAAAGTGTAGATTGGAAAGTGTAAACTGGAAACTGTAGATTAGAAAGTGTAAGCTCTAAACTGTAGACTGGAAACTGCAGACTGGAATCTGTAGACTGGAAACTGTTGACTGAAAACTGTAGATTGGAAAGTGAAGACTGCAAACTTTAGACTTGAAATTGTAGACTGGAAACTATAGACTGAAAACTGAGACTGGAAACTGTAGACTGGAAAGTGTAAACAGGAAACTGTAGACTGGAAACTGCAGACTCGAAACTGTAGACTGAAAACTGTAGACTGGAAACTGTAGACTGGAAACTGTGGACTGGAAAGTGGAGACTGGAAAGTGTAGATTGGAAAGTGTAAACTGGAAACTATAGATTAGAAAGTGTAAACTCTAAACTGTAGGCTGGAAACTGCAGACTGGAAACTGTAGACTGGAAACTGTAGACTGGAAACTGCCGACTGGAAACTGTAGACTGCAAACTGTAGACTGGAAACTGTGGACTGGAAACTGTATACTGGAAACTATAGATTAGAAAGTGTAAACTCTAAGCTGTAGGCTGGAAACTGCAGACTGGAAACTGTAGACTGGAAACTGTAGACTGGAAACTGCCGACTGGAAACTGTAGACTGGAAACTGTGGACTGGAAACTGTATACTGGAAAGTGTAGATTGGAAAGTGTAAACTCTAAGCTGTAGGCTGGAAACTGCAGACTGGAAACTGTAGACTGGAAACTGTAGACTGGAAACTGTGGGCTGGAAACTGTATACTGGAAAGTGTAGATTGGAAAGTGTAAACTGGAAACTATAGATTAGAAAGTGTAAACTCTAAGCTGTAGGATGGAAACTGCAGACTGGAAACTGTAGACTGGAAACTGTATACTGGAAACTGCCGACTGGAAACTGTAGACTGGAAACTGTGGACTGGAAACTGTATACTGGAAAGTGTAGATTGGAAAGTGTAAACTGGAAACTATAGATTAGAAAGTGTAAACTCTAAGCTGTAGGCTGGAAACTGCAGACTGGAAACTGTAGACTGGAAACTGCCGACTGGAAACTGTAGACTGCAAGCTGTAGACTGGAAACTGTGGACTGGAAACTGTATACTGGAAAGTGTAGATTGGAAAGTGTAAACTGGAAACTGTAGATTAGAAAGTGTAAGCTCTAAACTGTAGACTGGAAACTGCAGACTGGAATCTGTAGACTGGAAACTGTTGACTGAAAACTGTAGATTGGAAAGTGAAGACTGCAAACTGTAGACTGGAAACTATAGACTGAAAACTGAGACTGGAAAGTGTAAACAGGAAAGTGTAGACTGGAAACTGTAGACTTTTAGACCACAGTGTGTGGTTTCCACTTTCTAATAATGCAATTCTCCAGTTTTCTGTTATTTCCGATTTCAGTCTCGTTTTTCCAGTCTCCAGTTCCTAGTTTCCGGTATCCGCACAGTCTTGTATTATCTGAGGTGTTTGGAAAGCTTTCCAGTTTCCGCGTTCCGGGCTACAATGTTCATTTTCCAGTCTTCTAGTATCTGGACTCCAGTCTCCAGTTGTTAATCTCTATATTATAATTTCCTGTCCACAGCTTCTATTCTACAGCTTCAGTTCCTATCCTCCAACTTCCAGTCTTCTGCTTCCAGCTTCCAGTTTAGTCTCTATTCTCCAGTTTGTAGTAGTCTGCAGACTGTGCTCTTACTTCCAGCCTCTAGTTTCGAAGCTTCAGTTTCTCTTTTCCAATTTCCCTCGTCTGTCCAGTTTCCGTTCTCCAATATCTAGCCTCTAGCTTACAGTATACAGTTTTTAGGTTCGAGTAGCCAGTCTCCAGCTTCCAGCTTCTGGTTTCCAGTCTCCAGTTAGTCCAGCTATAAGTCTCCTGTCCCAAGCCTTCAGTTTCCAGATTCTAATCTCCGATTTTCCGGCTTCTAATTCCTGGTTTACAATTTTCTGTCTGCAGTTTCCGTTGTCTACTGTTTTAAGTACTGGTTTTGAGTATATGTCTTAAGCGCATGGTGTATCTTGGGTGTTTGGAACGTCTCGAACTTTGGAGAAAAAGCAACCTGATCTAAAATTTGTTTTGGGTTTATCCCAGGAGGCGGTGTTGCACATAGTTGCCTAACGAGGTTCAATTTCCAATACTTCTCACTTTAATTGACTACTTTATCTAATGACTCATTTACATTATTATGTAAAATTTCCAAATAAAAAAGTGTTCACGGTCATGTGTTATATAACTGGAAAATATTACTCAAGTCTGGAAAGAACAAATTAATCATGTCAGGTGTTAACCAATTACATGACCTTACACTTCGAAGATAACAAGCAAAAACAACAACAAAACTGTTAAAAATTGAGAATAACACATTTCGGCATATCCCATGAATGAAATGATGTCGTCATGTGAAAACCTCCGACACTTTATCTAACTGTGCCTTTTGTTTCAGGTACCTATGATCATGTTATGAAGTCACAGATATACAGCATAAAGGTCAGTGAGCATTTTTTTAGACAATTCCAACAGTAATCATAGTACTAAGGTAGCACAAAAGTGTGACAGTCTAAAAGTCAAGTAATTCGCGCACAGAAAAAACTTTCATACGCACAAAAACAATTCGCGAGAAAGGAAAGTTAATTACGGTCCTTTGTGTTTTAATTGCTTTGTTTAATTAAAAAGCGCGCCTACATTCGTTTCACAAAACGGCCGCAGAGAGCTGATTACCTTTGTCGAACGTCTTCGTGTCTGTGTCACAGCTCACGATTGCCGTGGAAAATTCACACCTTGTTCAATGATTGAAAAATCTATTTAAATAAGTGTATTTTTAATTTTCCGGCTTTGTAAGTCGGTAAAATACAGGGAGGGGGTAGTGTAACGGTAATGAAATTTTACTGTGACGAATCTGAAAATACCGAAGACTCGGGAAAAGCCGTAGATGAGGAGAATCCTAGTACGCTGAATACCTAACGCTAAAAGAACTGAAATCCAAAAATATGCGGCATTATGCCCAAAGTCCTCGAAGACCTGGGAAACCATTAAGGATTCTACAATGCTAGAGCTTTGCTGGTCTTAATAAGGGATTCATAGGTTTGGGGTGTGTATGTTGAAGTCACTAAAAGGCCTCGAAGACCATTATTAAGACCTCGAAGGCGTTAAAGACAATAAAGATGCAGACGACATTCATAATCTCGATCTTTAGAGACATCGAAACCTCAGATGAGCAAGGATACTCTGCACACCCAAAGATCTTAGAGACGCTTCAGATATCTAAAACGCTTTTGACACTAAAAACTCTGGAGATCTCAAAGACCCTGTAGACACCGAATATACGGATGACCAAATATACGCTGCATCTCAAACAACCCAAAGGATTGGGAGACCCTTAAAGCCTTTGAAACGCTAAAAACACTAGAGACACTGATGATTCCGAAAATCGCAATGACATTGAAGCCGCCGGAGGTACAGAGGGCCTAAAATACGCCGAAAACATCGAACGAAGACACTCAAAGACGCTCAAAGACGTTCAAAGACGCTCAAAGGCGCTCAAAGACGCTGAAAGACGCTCAAAAACGTTCAAAGATGCTCAAATACGCTCAAAGACGGTTAAAGATGCTCAAAGACGCTCAAAGACACTCGAAGACACTCAAAGACACAAAAAGACACTCAAAGACACTCAAAGATAATCAAGGACACTCAAAGACACCCAAAGACACTCAAATACACTTAAGGATCAAATATACGCTGCACTATCAAACAACTCAAAGGATCTGGAGACCCTTAAAGCCTTTGAAACTCTAAAAACACTAGAGACACTGATGATTCCGAAAATCGCAATGACATTGAAGCCGCCGGAGGTACAGAGGGCCTAAAATACGCCGAAAACATCGAACGAAGACACTCAAAGACGCTCAAAGACGTTCAAAGACGCTGAAAGACGCTCAAAAACGTTCAAAGATGCTCAAATACGCTCAAAGACGGTTAAAGATGCTCAAAGACGCTCAAAGACACTCGAAGACACTCAAAGACACTCAAAAATACTCAAAGACACTCGAAGACACTCAAAGACACTAAAAACGCACTAAAAAGACACTACAAAGACACTAAAAAGGACACCTAAAAGGCACTGAAAATACACTAAAATGACACTAAAAAGACACTAAAAAGCCTAAAAAGACACCTACAAGACACTAAAAAGGCACTAAAAAGACACTACAAAGACATTAAAAACACACCTAAAAGACACTTAAAAGACTAAAAAAACTAAAAGTACACTAAAAGGACACCTAAAAGGCACTAAAAATACACTAAAAAGACACTAAAAGGTGACTAAAAAGACACTAAAGGCACTAAAAAGACCCTAAAGGCATAAAAAAAGACACTAACAAGTCACTAAAAGGAAACTAAAAGTGCACTAACAAAGACACTTAGAAGACACTAAAAAGACACTAAAAAGACACCAAAAAAGACTAAAAAGACACAAAAAACTGAAAAGACACTAAAGACACGAAAAAACACTAAAAAGACACTAAAAAGACACCACAAAACACTCAAAAGACACTAAAGGCACCAAAAAGGCACGAAAAAGATACGAAAAAAACACTAAAAAGACACCAAAAAAACACTAAAAAGACACTAACAGTGCACTAAAAAGACACTAAAAGGACACTACAAAATACACTAAGAAAACACTAAAAAGACACTAAAGGCACTAAAAAGACACTAAAAAGTCACTAAAAGGGCACTAAAAGGACACTAAAAATACACTAAAAAGACACTTAAAGGTGACTAAAAAGACACTAAAGGCACTAAAAAGACCCTAAAGGCATCAAAAAGACACTAACAAGTCACTAAAAGAAAACTAAAAGGACACTTACAAAGACACTTAGAAGACACTTAGAAGACACTAAAAAGACACTAAAAAGACACCAAAAAAGACTAAAAAGACACAAAAAACTCAAAAGACACAAAAAAACTTTAAAAAGACACCACAAAACACTCAAAAGACACTAAAGGCACCAAAATGGCACGAAAAAGACGCTCAAAGACGCTGAAAGACGCTCAAAAACGTTCAAAGATGCTCAAATACGCTCAAAGACGGTTAAAGATGCTCAAAGACGCTCAAAGACCCTCAAAGACACTCAAAAAATACTCAAAGACACTCGAAGACACTCAAAGACACAAAAAGACGCTCAAAGACACTCAAAGATAATCAAGGACACTCAAAGACACCCAAAGACACTCAAATACACTCAAGGATCAAATATACGCTGCACTATCAAACAACTCAAAGGATCTGGAGACCCTTAAAGCCTTTGAAACTCTAAAAACACTAGAGACACTGATGATTCCGAAAATCTCAATGACATTGAAGCCGCCGGAGGTACAGAGGGCCTAAAATACGCCGAAAACATGGAACAAAGACACTCAACGACGCTCACAAACGCTCAAAGATGCTCAAAAACGCTCAAAGACGCTCAAAGATGCTCGAAGACCCTCAAAGACACTCAAAGACACTCAAAGACACTCAAAAGATACTCAAAGACACTCAAAGACATTCAAAGACACAAAAAGACACTCAAAGACACCCAAAGACACTCAAAGATACTCAAAGACACTCAAAGACACCCAAAGACACTCAAATACACTCAAGGACCAAATATACGCTACACTCTCAAACAACCGAAAGGATCTGGAGACCCTTAAAGCTTTTGAAACTCTAAAAACACTAGAGACACTGATGATTCCGAAAATCTCAATGACCTTGAAGCCGCCGGAGGTACAGAGGGCCTAAAATACGCCGAAAACGTCGAACAAAGACAGTAAAAGACGCTCAAAGACGCTCAAAGGCGCTCAAAGACGCTGAAAGACACTCAAAGACATTCAAAGATGCTCAAATACGCTCAAAGACGCTCAAAGACACTCAAAGACACTCAAAGACACTCAAACACACTCAAAGACACTCAAAGACGCTCAAAGACAATCAAAAACACTCAAAGACACTCAAAGACACTCAAAGACACTCAAAGACACTCAAAGACACTCAAAGACATTCAAAGACACTAAAAAGACACTAAAAAGACACTAAAAGGCACTAAAGGACACTAAACGTACACTGAACGGACACCAAAAGGACACTAAAAAGACACCAGAGAGACACTAAAAAGACTAAAAAGGAACTAAAAGTACACTAAAAGTACACTAAAACGACACTAAAAAGACACTAAAAAGACATTTAAAAGACACTAAAAAGGCACTAAAAAGACACTACAAAGACACGAAAAAGACACCAAAAAGACTAAAAAGGAACTAAAAGTACACTAAAAGTACACTAAAAGGACACTAAAAGGACACTAAAAAGACACGAAAAAGACACTAAAAAGACATTTAAAAGACACTAAAAAGGCACTAAAAAGACACTACAAAGACACTAAAAAGACACTAAAAAGGCACTAAAAATACACTAAAAAGACATTAAAAACGCACATAAAAGACACTAAAAAGAAACTAAACGTACACTAAAAGGACACTAAAAAGGCACTAAAAAGACACTACAAAGACACTAAAAAGGACACCTAAAAAGGCACTAAAAATACACTACAAAGACACTAAAAAGACACCTAAAAGGCACTAAAAATACACTAAAAGGATACTAAAAAGACACTAAAAAGGCACTAAAAAGACACTACAAAGACATTAAAAACACACCTACAAGACACTTAAAAGACTAAAAAAAACTAAAAGTACACTAAAAGGACACTAAAAAGGCACTAAAAAGACACTACAAAGGCACCAAAAAGACAACTAAAAGGCACTAAAAATACACTAAAAAGACACTAAAAGGTGACTAAAAAGACACTAAAGGCACTAAAAAGACCCTAAAGGCATCAAAAAAGACACTAACAAGTCACTAAAAGGAAACTAAAAGTACACTAACAAAGACACTTAGAAGACACTAAAAAGACACTAAAAAGACACCAAAAAAGACTAAAAAGACACAAAAAACTGAAAAGACACTAAAGACACGAAAAAACACTAAAAAGACACTAAAAAGACACCACAAAACACTCAAAAGACACTAAAGGCACCAAAAAGGCACGAAAAAGATACGAAAAAAACACTAAAAAGACACCAAAAAAACACTAAAAAGACACTAACAGTGCACTAAAAAGACACTAAAAGGACACTACAAAATACACTAAGAAAACACTAAAAAGACACTAAAGGCACTAAAAAGACACTACAAAGTCACTAAAAGGGCACTAAAAGGACACTAAAAATACACTAAAAAGACACTTAAAGGTGACTAAAAAGACACTAAAGGCACTAAAAAGACCCTAAAGGCATCAAAAAGACACTAACAAGTCACTAAAAGAAAACTAAAAGGACACTAACAAAGACACTTAGAAGACACTTAGAAGACACTTAGAAGACACTAAAAAGACACTAAAAAGACACTAAAAAGACACCAAAAAAGACTAAAAAGACACAAAAAACTCAAAAGACACAAAAAAACTTTAAAAAGACACCACAAAACACTCAAAAGACACTAAAGGCACCAAAAAGGCACGAAAAAGATACAAAAAAAAAACACTAAAAAGACACCAAAAAGACACCAAAAAAACACTAAAAAGACACTAAAAGTGCACTAAAAAGACACCAAAAGGTGACTAAAAGGACACTACAAAATACACTAAGAAAACACTAAAAAGACACTAAAGGCACTAAAAAGACACTAAAAAGTCACTAAAAGGGCAATAAAAGGACACTAAAAAAGACACTTATAAGACACTAAAAAGGCACTAAAGGCACTAAAAAGACACTAAAAAGTCACTAAAATGACACTAAAAAAGACACTAAAAAAGACACTAAAAAGACATTAAAAGTCACTAAAAAGGCACTAAAAGGACACTAAAAAAGATACTTAGAAGACACTAAAAAGGCACTAAAAGACTCAAAAGACACTGAAAGGGCACTAAAAGGACACTAACAGACAATAAAAAGACACCAGAAAGACACTAAAAAGACACTAGATACTAGAAAGACCTAAAAAGACACTAAAAAGACACTAGAAGGACACTAAAAGGACACTAAAAGACACTAAGAAGAGTCTAAAAAGACACTAGACACTAAAGACGCTAAAGACGCGGACGGCGTGGAAGATACTAAAGTGACTCCATGAATAATATCTTGTCGAAGGCTATGTCATGCCCTTTGTCGACACCCTCTCCCGACGTTCCGTTCGCCCGCAATTCGTACGTTGGTTGATTTCGCTAAAAACCCTTCAAAAAAATAGTATTCGATTTTTTGGGCACTTCTCGTAGCGTCTCGATCGTCTATTGGCGACTAGAAACAGAGAGACCGCGGATCGAACTCTAAGAAACTTATGGGCACTCAAAATCGACTACCCCTCGAAGCTCCGCCCTTGCAAAAGGTGGTTAATTTCGCCTCTAGGAAAAAAAAACACAATTCCGTCACGCAGGAGTTGTGCGCGTTTATATCTTTCCGAAGACACCAATTTGAAAACAATCGTATCAAAATTGTAGAAGAAGATACGAAAAAAAAATGAATAATCACCACACACTCGGGGATGGCGCCCAGATGTCGCCGACTCCACGACCGCTTAAGTTTGCGCTTGCCTTAAGATGACAGTATTTCAGATTCCAAATATTGATTATTGATACCAGGCTTATCAGAATGAAGGTTAATCAAATCTCAAAATGCTTCAGGGTTCAAAATTCAAGACTTTCGGTTCAATAAAGCAATTGAAGGCACAAGAGAATTTAAAATGAAGGGTAATACATAATTAAAGGTTCAACGTGACTGGGTTCGTGGTACCCTAGGCCCTTCTTGATCTAAAGTACTGACAGTAACAGTTGACGTGCATAATTACTGGAACACAAATCTTCACTTTTAATTGGCCTGTTTTTCCCAGTGTTTCTCATGTTAATTAATTTCGTAACTTCCTAAAGCAATAAACATGCGATGCCATGTATATAAACGACGTTTCACAGTTTCTCACGTCAAAGTCACTTGGCTAAAAAGCAACTTGGTCACGATGAAGCCCCTTCTGGTACTCTGTCTTTTGATTTCCATTGCAGCACCAAAAAAGGTACGTACTTTAGTTTTCTCCAGGCGTTTTCTATGTATTTCTTTCGCAGTTACCCGTCGCTTTTCAAAAAATGTGGGGCGAGCTTGCGGGCGGTTTTCAAGCGGGGTGCGCTGCAGAGAACAACCTCGACATGGAGGCCGCAAGTGGCATAATAACAAGATTTGAGGCGCCCGACATTGCGCCGGTGCATTGTTATGTGAAATGCATGGTTGAGAAAATGAAATTTATGACTCCCGATGGAAAAATGGATAAGGCGATGGTGGTGGATACGGTTCATCTCTTCACGAACGAACTTGTTGACAGTTGCGTCATCCAAGAAGAGAATAGCTGCAGAAAGGCGTACTTGGTGTCGCTTTGTGTGCTAAACGGGATCGCTGAAGACTAGTCGTTTAGCCAAGGTAGTCGTGGTTAAAGCTTTTACTTTCTTCTGGAACCCTCTGTATATACTCTTAAATAAATAAGGCAAGTGTAACAGCAAACAAGAAATTTACAGTGATTCATCTGGTAGAACCCTTCACTTCTCCACCGTTTTTATACTCCTCTCGTTTACATTTATTCTCTTCACGCGGAGATCCCCTCTCGTTGTTTTCAGACTTTCGTCCTTCACGGTTCTTTCAAGATTGCTTTACGTTTCTTTCCCCTTACACCCGTCACCCAGTCTTGAATCCTGGACAATGGAGCAACGGAGGGAGTAATTAGTAAGGTAGGCTCGGACCGACGAAGACCCCACCACTGCCTTCACGACCCACGACTCCTCCACTATTTCCACATTACCCAGATAGCACCGTATGTTTAATGTACGTACGTTTATGGTCCACTATTTGTACATTCGTCCTTGGACAAACAAATAACGTCCTATGTACGTAAGTATGGGACATCCTATGGGCGTTCATGTAAATACGTCACATGTACGTCCATATTTGGTACAATATTTTTTCAATTAATAATAAATCCCTCCTCTATCGCCTTGAAAAGAGTGTTATTATTTCAGTACCTTCCGTTGGTACAGATAGTAACTTTTTTTAAGTGTTTATCATAAATTGGTATTTTAATAAGCGAGGTATTACGTTCATTATTGGGCGGAAGTATGACATCCAATTTGTTGACATATAGACCAAATTTGGGCAAAACTAGTTCCAAATGTGGACATTCAATGTATGTATACTGGCTCAATATCATCATTCGTCCAGTGGACGTCCATAGTACAATTTTGTGCTATCTGGGCGTATTCTATCAACCCTGGTAGGTGGAGCCTTTTTCGAGTCGTACGGGAGATACGCTGAGTAGACCACCAAGTGCTTGCTCCGTTCTCTCTCATCTTTCACCTGAAGCCTTAGAGCTACAAGATCCCTTAAATAGACGTCAGTCATTAGATAAGGCTTTATTCGTCTGTCGACATAAGTGCAAGTCATGCGTGCTAAACCCCTGCGTGCTTTGGTTTTGCCGCTGTTGCTGGAGTGCCAGATAGGACGCCTCGTCGACACCAAACGCGAGGAGCACCCTACCGGGCTCGTCCCTGCGAAAGAACGTCCTCCATAGGCTTGTCCTGAAACCAGAATTTTGCCTCTGGAGGAAGCTCGTATAATCAGTCATCACCTTTGATACCCTAGGCGTGTTCCTCTGCACCTTCGGAGACGCGAGATCCCAAAGACACTAAAGACACTTAAAGACCCTCAAAGACACTAAAGACATTAAAGATACTAAAGGCACTAGAGATACTAAAGACACTAAAGACACTAAAGACACTAAAGACACTAAAGACTAAAGACGCTAAAGACGCTAAAGACGCTATAGACGCTAAAGACGCTAAAGACGCTAAAGACGCTAAAGACGCTAAAGAAAATAAAGACACTAAAGACACTAAAGAGACTCTAAAGAGACTCTAAAGAGACTCTAAAGAGACTCTAAAGAGACTCTAAAGAGACTCTAAAGAGACTCTAAAGAGACTCTAAAGAGACTAAAGAGACTCTAAAGAGACTCTAAAGAGACTCTAAAGAGACTCTAAAGAGACTAAGAGACTCTAAAGAGACTCTAAAGACTCTAAAGAGACTCTAAAGACACTAAAGAGACTAAAGAGACTCTAAAGAGACTAAAGAGACTAAAGAGACTCTAAAGAGACTCTAAAGAGACTCTAAAGAGACTCTAAAGAGACTCTAAAGAGACTCTAAAGAGACTCTAAAGAGACTCTTAAGAGACTCTTAAGAGACTCTAAAGAGACTCTAAAGAGACTCTAAAGAGACTCTAAAGAGACTCTAAAGAGACTCTAAAGAGACTCTAAAGAGACTCTAAAAGACACTAAAGACACTAAAGACACTAAAGACAAAAGACGCTAAAGACGCTAAAGACGCTAAAGACGCTAAAGACGCTAAAGACGCTAAAGACGCTAAAGACGCTAAAGACGCTAAAGACGCTAAAGACGCTAAAGACACTAAAGACACTAAAGACACTAAAGACACTAAAGACACTAAAGATACTAAGGACACTAAAGGCACTAAGGACACTAGGGAGAAGGACACTGAGGACACTGGGGACACTAGGCACTAAGGATACTAAAGACACTAAAGGCATTTCCTAATCATCACCTTCTGTGTTTCATTCCTATTCTTTTTGCGAATACGAGCTGGCCCACTACTAGGTCCTTGAATACGACCGAGGTAGGATCGTGTCGCAAGAACTTTGCTGGTGATTGGTTAAGAGGGAACGCTGGTTGTGCTTGGCGTGTGTTCTGCAAGGACGAATCAAGATTCGCAAAGTGTGAAATTAAACGCGTAGGGTATTCGAAATACCGCGCATCCTTTTATAAACGCTTATCAACATCGCGAGGTGTATCTAGATCTTGGACCAAGATTGTGATAGCTGCAACTACCAAAAAGCACAGACCTTACCCTAGGGTAATTTTTCTCTCGCCCAGACATCTGTGGATTTTGTTTACGTTTTCAACTAATGCGGACTAAGAGGTATTGTGAATTTAGCTTTTGTATTGGTTCTCAGTCAAAAAACCGTAAATTATTATTGTGAATTTGTCTGTGAATTTCCAGTAGAAAAGCAAGTTTCATATCTTGATCTCTGAATGGTTCCTTAATTTTTTGAGTGAATTGGACTGTTTATTTATCGTTATACAAGAGCTTCAGTTTGTGAATTCGTTCCCATTTAAGTTTACTAATTTAATAGTGTATGATGACTTATGAAATTTCAAGTCAGGTTAGCTGTAAAAGGTGATCAGATCACCTATGGACCTTCATTTCTTTTAGTACGCTATCGAATCCACATTTAATTTACTTTTGTTTAGTACTTACCCCGAATTATGATAAGCGTTCAGGTTTCCAATAGTTATCACTGTGATCAGCTTTCACAGCCTTTTCTTTACAGTTAACAGCTTCAGGATTTGGAAAATTCGATGATATTCATAGTGTTTCAGAACCCTTAAATCCGACCAAAGTTTCAAAATCTCTCTTGAGAGTAAATCTCTTGAAAATTCCACTAATTGTTATCTAAACCCATTAAACATTGAACAAATTCGGAATAATCCTTACCGAAAACCGATTCAGACCAATTTTCCATTACGCAACAACTTTAGGTAAGTGTAATTACAATTTTCGCCATCTTTGCCTCTACCAGAAAGATCTCGAATCGTGCAATTTCCGAATGCTATCGAAGACAACTACCTCAATATTCATACTACGAGCAAAAATGCAAATTGCTACACTTAAGTTCCCACCCTTACCAAATAGTGACAACCATTCGCAAGCCAAATCCTAGATTAACTAAATTTCGACGAAAACAAACACAAGGGACAACGTACTCATAAGCCAAAAGCCATGTCAACAACCATAACAAAACAAAGGGTCCGATATATTTTGGTGCTAACTTAGCCGAGAACTGTTTCGTTTGCATCCGATTAGGAAAAATTCGATAGACCTTGTTACCCACATTATGAGTAACAAGACGGCATCTTAGATCATAATGCCGTTTATTTAATGCCACATAATCGAAAAGCTCGTAGGAGAACAACAATAAATTTTGTTGTTAGTTACTTCAGGCACTAGTACCTTTATTCAGGAATATTTACAGTGTTAGAAAAGAAACTAAAAGCTTTAACCACGACTACCAAAGCCAAACGACCTGGATATTAGTCTTCAGCGATCCCGTTCAGCACACAAAGCGTCAACAAGTACGCCTTTTTGCAACCATCCTCTTCTTTAACGACGCAACTGTCAAGAATTTCGTTCGTTAATATGGGAAACGTATCCATCATAATCGACTTAGCCATTTCTCCATTGGGCGTAAAAAATTCATTTTCCCAACCACACATCTCACATAGCAATGAATCGGCCCTACGTCTGGCGCCTCAAATCTTGTTATTATGCCCCTTGCGACTTCCAGGTCGATGTTGCCCTCCGATGCGCACCCCTCCTCGAAACCACTCGCAAGTTCGCCCCACATTGTTTGAAAAGCGGCGGGTAACTGCAAATAAAACTGCAAATAAAATACATAAAAAACGAGTATGCACCTGTTTGGTTGTTGCAATGGAAAACAGAAGGCACAGAACCAGGAGGTGCTTCCTCGTGACCATTTTGCTATTTCACCAAGTAACTTTTACGTGAGCAACTGCAAAATGTTGTTTTTATACCTCACAGATGTTTATTGCTTGAGAAGGTTACGAAATGATTCTGATGAGAACTAATTCAAATGTAAATTATGAAGATTCGTGGTCCAGTAATTACGTAAAGTCGTACATGAATTGCAAAATGGCTATCATTACCTTCTTTGGACCAAAAAGGGCTTTATTTTTAGTTTAGAGTACCACGAACCCAAAAGGCCTAGACTGTAGTTTCATAAAATCCTCCAGAATGTGGGAAGGCGTATTTTTACTTCTAATATTTAGAATAACCGTCACAACAATTTTGCGCACTTTTTCCACTTTAAGGGAGAAGGTGGATTGAGAAGGTTTCTTCTATAGAATCTACTCCCTCGGCATCCCGCCTAAATAAATTCTAACAAAAGGTTCGTACTATAGCCTAGCCTCAGGCCAGAGGACGGGCTTCCATAGAGACAACCGAGGTACTGACAGACAACCACTTTCCCGGAGCCATCACAGCTTGTTCTCTTCGCAACAAAAAAAGCCGAGGGTCTTCGAACTCCCCTCCTATTCCAAGAACACCTCCAATTTTAGCGATCGTGCCGAGGACTGGGATGCATTGTCGATATCCGTGCCCCTCAGATACCTGGAGATCTCCGCTTGGTGACCCTTTTTTTGGTTTTGTCTCGAGTTCACAGTATCTAATGACCTCATCCCGACTTCTCCATCAGGCGCAAGTAGCTATATAGCGACGAACCTGGACCGTTCAAGGTCGTTCGCCACCTGGGGGTGGCCACGTCAAAGTGGTGTGCGACTTGGTAGCGACCTTGGAAATTATGTCAAGGTGAAAGTCGTGTGGGCGGTGACCTTGTAAATTAGGTCAAGGTGAAAGTCACCTACCACGTGAGCATTTTTATGGTCATCCGAGCTCATTGGACCAATAAATTTTCAAGCTCGTCCGAGGTCATTGAAAATGTAATCGCAATAAGGGGTTCATTGGCCTTGATTAACCTTGAGTTTGTAATTAGACACCACATAAAAATTAGGTTGTTGACTTTGGTTTGACCTCGAACATGTGATAATAAAGACAATAAATTGACCTTGTATGTCCTTGAAAATATAATTTCAAAGGGCAAATAATGGGTTTATTGACCTTGGATGACCTCAAGAATGTAATTAAACATCACTTAAAAATGAGATCATTGGCCTTCTATGCCCTTGAAATTTAATTTGGCACAAGAAAGCGTTCATTGTCCTTGGATGACCTTGAGAATCTAACTAGACGCAACATAAAAACGATGCTATTGTCCTTGAATGGCCTTGAAAATCTTGACACCGCAAAAATGTGTTCATTGACCTTTGATGACCTCGTCAGCGTAATTAGAAGCTGCAAAAGATGAAGACGTGGTGACCATGGAAAGTGGGTCAAGGTGCCGTGCCACTTGGCAGTGACCTTGGAAATGAGGTCAAAGTGAATAGAACGTGGCGCGTGGGAGGCCAAGGAGAAAGTCGTCTGCCACGTGTGCGGTGACCTTGGTAAGTAGGTCGCTGTAAACCACAAAGAGCAAGCTTTAGTTATCGTATCCCATTTTGTAAGTCAAATTACATTTACAAGGTTAAACAAGGTCATTGGCCCCATGGTGTTAATTTATATATTCGGCCAATGACCCCAATTATGGTGTCAATTCATTTTTAATGTCATCTAATGTCATAGGCCTCTTTTTTGTGCACTCAAATTACATGTTCACACTGCATTTCTTCATTATCAAGGTCATCCGAGGTCATTGCCCCAATAAACTTTCAAGCTCAATCGAGGTCATTGAAAATGTAACCTGATAAAACAAAAATGGGCGCACTGACCTTGGATGAGCTCAAGAATGTAATTAAACATCACTTAAATATGAGATCATGACCCTGCAAAGTTAATTTGACACAAAAAAGGTTAATTGTCCTCAGATGACCTTGAGAATCTAATTAGATGCACCATAAAAATGATGCTATTGAACTTGTATGAACTTGAAAATATCTGTTGACACTGCAAAAATGTTTCATCGATCTTTGATGACGTCATCCGCGGAATTAGACACTACAAAAGCTGAGGGCATGTGGTGACCTTGGAAAGTAGGCCAAGGTGGCGTGCCACTTGGCAGTAACCTTGAAAATTAGGTCAAGGTGATAGACGCGAAGTGCGTGGGAACTGGGAGGTGACCTACGGAAGTAGGTCGCTGTAAACTTCAAATGGCAAGCAATCGTATTTCCTTTTTGGGGGCAAAATTACATTTACAAGGTCATCCCAAGTTAATGACCCCAATTCTGTGGCTTCAGAATTAGTTTTTGATGTCATCCAAGGTTAATGCATGGTTGTGTTCTAGAATTACATTTATAACGGCATACAAAGTCCATAATTGCACTTCTTCGTTGACCCCATACATTTTCAAGGTTACCCGAGGTCATTTTGTGGTCCGAGGTCATTGACTCGATTTATTGGTGTGTCAAATTACATTTTAATGACATCGGAGGTAATTGACCACACAAATTGTTAAGCTCATCCGAGGTTATTGACCCTCTTTTTTGGTGTTGAATTGCATTTCCAAAGTCGTCAGAGGTCATTGACGCCATAAAAATCGAGGTCATTGAAAATGTAATTTGATAACGCACATAAAAGTCATTGACTTTGGTTGACCTCGAGCATGTATTTTAAAGACAACCCTTGAAAATATAATTTGACGGCAAAAAAAATGGGTTCATTGACCTCGGATGAACTCAATAATGTAATTAAACACAAAAAGCAATTTCTCTTCTATGACCTTGAAAATTTAATTTGACACAGAGTTTAATGTCCTTGGGTGATCTTGATAATGTAATTACACGCAACAAAAGATGGGACTATTGACCTTGGATGACCTTGAAAATCTAATGACGCTGCAAAAAATGTGTAATTAGACACTACAAAAGATGAGGGCATGTGGAGACCTTGGAAAGTATGTCATAGTAGCGCGCTACTTGGCAATGACCTAGGAAATTAAGTCAATGCGTAAGTCGTCTGCCACGTGGGCGGTGACCTTGGAAAGAGTAAAGGTTCTTGAGGTCATTTAACGCGACTATACGACGATAATTTAAAAGGAGGAAACTATGTTTCAGGTTATGCAAGGTCTGCTTGAAGGTTTCTTCAAGGTTGTACATGTCCTTTTGAAACTTTTGTAATTTTTCTTTCAGGACTCTTTGGAAAATTCCAATCCATTAAAATTTTCTTAAAACTATATTGGAACTTCCTTCAAATATCATTATAAAGGCATTGAAGTGACAGACGAATTCAATTGAGTTTCAAGTTTTCAAGAAAGCTTCAAAGTGTTTCTGTATCCATGAAATTTCAGAGGAGTTTAATTGAGTTTCATCAGATTTATAAGTTCTGTGGGGCTTTCATGGAAGCGGGTTTCCATAAAAAAATCTCAATCTCAGTCTCGAGTACACTTTACCAGAACTTCAAAAGCTTCAATCGAGTAAAGAAAGAGATTCCACAAGGTTTTGGTAATTTCCAGAGTTTCAATGACATCCCCAGGTCCCCAGGGTTTCCATAAAGTTGCATTAGATCTGCCGGTGTATGTCGGATGGGTTTCAAGAGCTTCATGCCATCATTATCATTCATCATCGAATTCTCGAATCTTCGGATTCTGATAATCCGGATATTCGATTTTTAGATCTCAGAATCTTCGAATTTTTAAATTTTTGAATCTCCGGATATACGAATGTCCGGATATTCAAATCTATTAATTTTAGAATCTTAGCAAATCTTTGAGTCTTAGAATTTTTAAATTTAAGAATTTTCGAATTTTTGAATCTATCTGATTCTTTGTCTTTAAATCTTCGGCTACTCGAATCTTAGGCTCCTCGAATCTTTAGAAATCCGAATCGTATAATCTTAGAGTCGCTTAGTCGTTGGATCCTTGAACCCGTGAGCCATTTTATCTTTGAAGCTTTAGGCATCTGCTCCCTTAGTCATATGAACCTTTGGCCTTAGGCCTTAGGGCCGTTAAGCCTTTAATCTTTTAAGGTTCCTTTGAACACTTAGGCCTTTAACTGTTCCAAGTTTACAAATTTGTCATTTATATCTATTAATAGGTTGGAAAATTCCCTATTACCTGAATTTCAAATTTCCAAATCATCCGAACTGCCAAATTTCAAATTCCCCAAACCTCCAGAATTCCAATCACTCGATGATCCCAAGGGTTGAAGGTCCAAATTTTCAAACTGACAAGTTAAGGCCATTTGCAGAGTTTGAGGAAACCTTTAAGGGTCTGGTATGGTTCCTTGATGTACATTTGAGGTTTCCTAGGTGTCATTGATGAAGCCTTACATAAACTTCTAGAGAGTTCTTAAGTTCTTGGTTGTTTGAGGATTCTTTGAGTTTTTGAGTATTCTTAAGGTGTTTAGGTCTTTTGGGTCCTTTCTGTGCTTTTTTTGTTCGGTTTTGATCCCCCTGTTTTTTTAATAAGCTTCAAGCGTTTACTTACAGTGCTCGGCGCTCGAGCGCTTTTTTGCCCGCGAGAGGTTTTTCCGCTTGCAAGCTCTTTTTTCGCTCGCGAGCTCTTTTCGGAGCGGCCGCTTGGTGCTCAATACTCGAATGTTTACTTAAAGTGCTCGGCGCTCGAGCGTTTTTCTCTGCCCGCGTGCGGTTTTTCCGCTCATGAGCGTTTTTTCCGCTTGCAAGCTCTATTTTCGCTCGCGAGCTCTTTTCGGAGCGGCCATGGTGTTCGATACTCGAGCGTTTACTTAAAGTGCTCGGCGCTCGAGCGCTTTTCTCTGCACGTGTGCGGTTTTTCCGCTCATGAGCGTTTTTTCCGCTTGCAAGCTCTTTTTTCGCTCGCGAGCTCTTTTCGGAGGGGCCGCTTGGTGCTCGATACTCGAGCGTTTACTTAAAGTGCTCGGCGCCCGAGCGCTTTTTTCTGCCCGCGAGCGGATTTTCCGCTCATGAGCGTTTTTTCCGCTTGCTAGCTCTTTTTTCGCTCGCGAGTTCTTTTCGGAGCGGCCGCTTGGTGCTCGATACTCGAGCTTTTACTTAAAGTGCTCGGCGCTCGAGCGCTTTTTTCTGCCCGCGAGCGGATTTTCCGATCAAGAGCGTTTTTTCCGCTTGCAAGCTCTTTTTTCGCTCGCGAGCTCTTTTCGGAGCGGCCGCATGGTGCTCGATACTCGAGCGTTTACTTAAAGTGCTCGGCGCTCGAGCCCTTTTTTCTGCTCGCGAGCGGTTTTTCCGCTCATGAGCGTTTTTTCCGCTTGCTAGCTCTTTTTTCGCTCGAGAGCTCTTTTCGGAGCGGCCGCATGGTGTTCGATACTCGAGCGTTTACTTAAAGTGTTCGGCGCTCGAGCGCTTTTTTTCTTCCCGCGAGCGGATTTTCCGCTCATGAGCGTTTTTTCCGCTTGCTAGCTCTTTTTTCGCTCGAGAGCTCTTTTCGGAACGGCCGCTTGGTGCTCAATACTCGAATGTTTACTTAAAGTGCTCGGCGCTCGAGCGCTTTTCTCTGCCCGCGTGGGGTTTTTCCGCTCATGAGCGTTTTTTCCGCTTGCAAGCTCTATTTTCGCTCGCGAGCTCTTTTCGGAGCGGCCATGGTGTTCGATACTCGAGCGTTTACTTAAAGTGCTCGGCGCCCGAGCGCTTTTTTCTGCCCGCGAGCGGATTTTCCGCTCATGAGCGTTTTTTCCGCTTGCTAGCTCTTTTTTCGCTCGCGAGTTCTTTTCGGAGCGGCCGCTTGGTGCTCGATACTCGAGCTTTTACTTAAAGTGCTCGGCGCTCGAGCGCTTTTTTCTGCCCGCGAGCGGATTTTCCGCTCATGAGCGTTTTTTCCGCTTGCTAGCTCTTTTTTCGCTCGCGAGCTCTTTTCGGAGCGGCCGCATGGTGCTCGATACTCGAGCGTTTACTTAAAGTGCTCGGCGCCCGAGCGCTTTTCTCTGCCCGCGTGGCGGTTTTTCCGCTCATGAGCGTTTTTTCCGCTTGCAAGCTCTATTTTCGCTCGCGAGCTCTTTTCGGAGCGGCCATGGTGTTCGATACTCGAGCGTTTACTTAAAGTGCTCGGCGCTCGAGCGCTTTTCTCTGCACGTGTGCGGTTTTTCCGCTCATGAGCGTTTTTTCCGCTTGCAAGCTCTTTTTTCGCTCGCGAGCTCTTTTCGGAGGGGCCGCTTGGTGCTCGATACTCGAGCGTTTACTTAAAGTGCTCGGCGCCCGAGCGCTTTTTTCTGCCCGCGAGCGGATTTTCCGCTCATGAGCGTTTTTTCCGCTTGCTAGCTCTTTTTTCGCTCGCGAGCTCTTTTCGGAGCGGCCGCTTGGTGCTCAATACTCGAGCGTTTACTTAAAGTGCCCGGCGCTCGAGCGCTTTTCTCTGCCCGCGTGCGGTTTTTCCGCTCATGCGCGTTTTTTCCGCTTGCTAGCTCTTTTTTCGCTCGCTCGTTCTTTTCGGAGCGGCCGCATGGTGCTCGATACTCGAGCGTTTACTTAAAGTGCACGGCGCTCGAGCGCTTTTTTCTGCTCGCGAGCGGTTTTTCCACTCATGAGCGTTTTTTCCGCTTGCTAGCTCTTTTTTAGCTCGCGAGCTCTTTTCGGAGCGGCCGCTTGGTGCTCGATACTCAAGCGTTTACTTAAAGTGCTCGGCGCTCGAGCGCTTTTTTCTGCCCGCGAGCGGTTTTTCCCTCCATGAGCGTTTTTTCCGCTTGCAAGCTCTTTTTTTGTTCGCGAGCTCTTTCCCCGTCCGCTAACGCTTTTAGGGTTCCACGGAATTCGCAAGCGGCTTTGCAAAACAGCTCGATGCTCGCGAGCATTTTTAGACAATTAGAGCGCTCGACCAAGCTCTAGCTCTATCCGAAAAACTTCTTCGGGCCACTTTAGGTTTGGCCATTAACCTGGAGGTTTCTATTTGTCCATTTACACACAGGTATTTTGTAGTTCCTTGTTGGGCCTCCAAAATATCGGGTACTTCGCTGCCTTACCATAATATCATCTTGTGCTTCTTGAATGTCGTCCCAGAGCTGGGGAATCCTCGTCTTTTTAAAATTGCATCATTTTTTGGAACGTTCCCTACCCAGTTCGGTTCGTGTGTTCCGGATCAGTTTCATAAGTCTATCAAATCTCATTTGGAAGTCTGGGTGCGTCCTTAAGGTATCGTGGCGATTTGTTCCCATCTCTGACCCATTAGACATTAAAATCTCATCGATCCAGTCGCTGATCTCAAAAATGAGTCGTAGAAGACAGGTGTAGTTTGTAGACACCAATTCTTTCGATGAGTACCGTGGAGGGTAGAACGTGTGTGTTTAGCGCCCCCGCCTTTCCCAATTTCCCCATCAAAGCACATAGGTAAATAGAAAGCCCGATTTATTTGGTACAAACTTCCATCAAATGACAAAAAAATTTGCGTCTACGAATGTCGAGCGTATGTCTGTGTCGGTCTGTCTGCCTTCGTCTGAGGGATCAAATTAAAATTACCGAAATTATTCATCTAAACGTCTTAACGTGAATGGGGTTTTGCTAAACTTAATCTAAACAAGCATATTTTCCATATTTCCTTTGTTTACAATACTTTTCATTATTTGTAGGCTGTTTATTTTACTTCTTTTGGATTAACATTGGAAGCGTGCTGGCATTTAATTATGTGCATGCACAACCATGGAGATAATGAGGTTGTGTATTACTACTGTTTAAACAAGAAGGTGATTACTCTTCGGCGATCGCGTACAGGGCGCACATAGTTGACATGTACACCCTTCGGCAGCGATCTTCATCGTCGTAGACGCAACCGTCGACAACTTCGCTCGAGAAGAAGTGAACCCGATCCACAACCACTGACGTATCAAAATCTCCCTCTGGCGTCAAAAAATTCAAATTGTCGAGCACGCACGTGATGTAGCAGTGGATGGGACCCTCGTCAGGCGCTTCGAGTCGTTCGATTATTTTCCTCGTCTCCTCCAACTCGACGCCATTCTGTTCCGCGCACCCCGGCTGGAACCTACCGGCGAGACCGCGCCACATTTGGAGAAATCCATCCGGCAACTACAAGACAACTGGCTTGGAGAGAAATTGGCGCGAAATTCTTACCTTTTGCGACGTTGCCGTCGAAAGCAGGAGGCACGCGATCAAGATTTGCTTCATTCTGTGCTGTCCAAAATTATGGAACACTAACGGAGGAGAATTTTTGATGCGATGTTTATGTACCGGTTCGCGTGACTAATTGGCGTGGGAATTGCTTAAAAAAACACATCAATGTCTAATGGTTAATAATGTATTAATTAGGACGCAATTACAGGTAATTACTAGCTCACGGCGATCGGGTCCAAAACACACATCGCTCTCAAATATGCCTTTGGGCAGGGATCCGTTTCCATGACGGCTTCATGGTGTACAAATGCTCGATTTCCATTTCTCGCTATTTTTAATTTGCGCTCTTATTTAAATTCGAAATTTACTTGATATTTTTACGCCATCTAGGTGTTTACTTTGTAATCTACTACTCCAGATCTAAGTTAATTTCTGTAGTGTAAATTATTCTTGTTGTAGTAAAGTTCCTTTACCTAGTTCTTTATTTTGCCGTTAGAGGTTCCTTTTACTTACTTCTTTGTCTTGTTGTTAGAGTGCACACTTTGTACCCTTTGTGCACTTCAATCTATCTATGTTATTTTTGTAGGGCTTTAATTGTTTTGTGTCGTTATTTCTTTGGGATTACCTTTTACGTTGACCTACTTGGATATTATCCATTTTCTACGCAGTACGTAGATGATGTAGCATTTTTATTTTGACCCGCCATTTTAGCAGGTGTGACGAACGACGCAGGGGTGTATCTACATTACCGAATTATGAAATTCTAACGACATTAACCATGTGAATCTACTTCATTCTACCAATATTAGCACCTACTTCGAGATTTGAACTTGGAGACTTCGATATTTGTGCCTGAGTTGTAAACCGCAATTAAATTACGGAATCTAAGAAGTTAAAGATCTTGTAAATTGCTCCGATATACCCTATTGTACTCGCAGACGATCAGCTTCACTTTTACTAGTGTAAAGTCACGCGAATTATTGGTTCTTTTTGGGTATTAATTACAGTTTTTGTACTTATACGATTAACCACCATGTCAGGAGTTAGCATTGCTATTTCGCAATATTATGTGCAGCGCGATTCACTAACCCTTTTAGTTGTTTGTTGTTGTGTTATTATCCGTTAAAGATTTGCAGAACGCACTCTTCTGGGCTCAAAAGATTGCATTCAAGTCAATGGTAAATTTTGTTATTTTCTTCGATTCCCTGATTTAACGTTTGATTACATATTGGTTTTCGATACAATTGAATTCTAATTTTGCTTGAGATTCACTTTACTATATTTCCCTTTTTTGTTTGTGTATAAGCACTCCGAATATTCACCCCGACTCACCTCTACTTAGCCTGAGCTTACGGTGTGCGCATCCCAAGGTAATTTTACTGCTTTGCCCGAAGTGAAATAAAGTAGTTGAACTTTGACAACTTTGAAAATGAAATATGAACGCTGAACTTTGAACGGCGACCATCCTTCAGACTTTGAACGGCGAACAAACTTTGAATATCGATCAACCTTTGAACTTTGAACGGTGACTAAATCTGGGAAAAATGCGAATTTTACCCAAAACGTTAACGCGACCCCATACGAGATTCCTAGAGGAGGCCCTAAAAACAGATCCGTAAAAACGTTTCAATGGAGCCACCTATCCATCAAAGAGAAAGAGACAACCACTCCAAAGATAAATATGGTAAAGCCAAAACACTGGTCCTTATACAGGGCGACGCGAGTCAAGAAAGTAATGGTTACCAAGAGACAATTGAGTAATCAATTTGTAGGCAGAAACTTTATTGAAGAGGAAGAGAACTGCGTGCAAGCAGAGAGAAAAAAGGGGATAGAATGAAGTGCAGAAAGGGTACAAAGTGTGCACTCTAACAAGACAAAGAAGTGAGTAAAAAGAACCTCTAACGGCAAAATAAAGAAGTAGGTAAAACAACTCTACTACAACAAGAATAATTTACACTACATAAATTAACTTAGATCTGGACTAGTGGATTACAAAGTAAACACCTAGATGGCGTACAAATATCAAGTAAAAGTAAATTTCGAATTTAAATAAGAGAACAAACAAAAGATTGCGATGTTCTTTCATCTCTCTTATACAAAGGCCTGTAGAATCCGTAATTTCAAACAGTTCCAGGATTGGGCAACTAGTTCAAAAGTGTCAGCCCTTTGAATTTTTTTCTGGTCTATAACTTTTGATTGAGAAGTCTGATCGAAAAAGTACAAATTGATTTGGATTCTACGCACCCAAATTAATAAGAAAAAGTGTTTTCCCGAGAATTTTTGGTGTAGTCGATTTTTGGTAAAAAAGGAAGGTAATACACTGCCTTTTTTTGAGACCCGAAGAAAAAATTGTCTCATTATACAGTCCATTACATTATCAATATCCCCAAATTCTTCTATGGTTTTTCTGAAATTGTCGTAGATCTCTTCAATCTCCCAAAAATTTTTGGGACCCACTTGAAGCTTGTCTGAAGATTCCCATCATATTCTTATGAAAATCTAAACGAAAGGATAGCAGGAAATTTCTCAGGGAATGTTGACTGGCAATGGGGTTTTTGATAAGGCGATAAGAACTCCGAATATTCACCCCGACTCACCTCTACTAGCCTGAGCTTAGAGTGTGCTTATCTCAAGGTAATTTTATTGCTTTTGCTCAAAGTGAAGTAAAGTAGTTGAACTTTGATAACCTTGAAAAGTGAAATATGAACGTTTGGACTTTGAACGGCGACCGTCCTTTAGACTTTGAACGGCAAACAAACTTTGGACTTTGAATGTCGATCAACCTTTGGACTTTGAACGGTGACCAGACCTGGGAAAACGCGAATTTAACCCAAAACGTTAACGCGAAACCAAACGAGTTTCCTAGAGGGATCTGAATAAAATGAGAATTTTGGGAAGATATTTTTCGACAATAGTTAGTGTAAATCTGTTTATTTTGTTTCTTAGTCTTCTGCGATCGCGTTCATTACACACATCGCAGACACGTACGCCCTTCTCGGTCTTCATCCTCGTTGGCTCAACCGTCGACAATTCCGTTCGTGAAGAAGTGAACCTGATCCATAACCACCGGTGTATCAAAGTCTCCCTCTGGAGTCAAAAAATTCAAATTGTCAAGCACGCACGCCGTGAAGAAGTCATCTGGCGGTTCAAAGCGCGTTTCTGAGCCCGAACGGCATCCGCTTAAAGCGGTACAATCCAAAGGGCGTCATGAATTATGCTTTATCTCGGTCCACCAGGCGGACGGCGTGTAGATCGAGCGTGCTGATGACCTGTACTTTGGCGGCGAGCAGGAGGCCGTCCATCGAACTGGTGTAGTGTATGAGGCAGGGGCGCCCGTGCAATTGAGCAATTGCTGCGGATCACTCCGGGTTCCCCACATCCATAGCAGGAAAACGTGGTGGAGTGGCTGACTGCAGGGGCTGCTTTGATCCTTGCGGTAACGGTGGTTGTTAGACCTTTAGCGGTATCGTCCCTTTTCTTTTTGCGGGACTCTTCTTGCATGGGGGTCTCTTCTCTCTAGGTATGGCGGAGGTACCTCGGCCGTCCGGGCTCATTCTTGTATCTTGCGGATGTTTGTGATCGGTTCTTTGAACGTTGTTACTTTTGTCTTCGGGGCGGTTTTCCGAATGCAGGTGTGGAGTAGGCCGTAAACCATGCTCACTTGGTCTGCAGGTCTTTTCGCGATGAGCGCATGCTTCTGGCAAATGCATAACTCTGTGGCCTCCCTCTCCTCTTACTCAATGGAGAAGATCTTTCGCAGAATCTGACTTGTGGGAATGGAGGGCCTACAGTTCTCCCTGAGTAGGGTGGGGCTTCTTCTCACGTGGTGACTGTACCCTTGATTTCTTGCCACCAGGTTGCGGGGGTACCATGTAGAAGCATGGCGATCCCTTTTATGACTCATTTTAACACAGGTACTAATAAAGAAGAAACAATTATAATTCATCTAGGGCGCGTCGAGCCTCCGCCACCACGAAAACCTGGATATTGACGTAAATTTTATTAACCTGAGAAACTCAGCAGCTTTAATCTCCTCCAAAACGTCAAAGAATTTAAATTAACACCTGATTAAATTCTGGGTGCGACATAAAAAATTTAACACCTGAAAACTCCAATCTAGGTCGTAATTTGGGCTCGACTAAACACAAAGCTAACCATTTACAGATGAAACAAATGGATTGGGCATCAATCATTCAAATAATCTGAAAGAAATATAGGCACCCAGGGCCAGAACAGAAACTCCACGCAACAAGCGATCGATAGAAACAATTGTTTAAAGAAATATTAATTATATTGCGAAAACATAAAGTGATATTTCTACGAAACTTCACGTTTACAACATCGATTTGTAATTACTGATGTTAAAGTTAGCGTTTTGATGATATTAAAACTCCCTTTAGCGGATACTGGGACACAACCACCCATTCCCTTGTTTAATTCGACTTAAAACACACTTTTAGCACGAGGATTTAAATCTCTTTAACCTTCTTCCACCAAACTTTACAATTAAACAAGACTGACTGTCCATTGAAAAAGTTTCGATAACGGAAAAACACACACAACACAACAAACGGCTACGTTTTAAACGTTCACCAAACCAAACAAGCCACGATTAACGTCGATTATTTATTTATTTATTTTATTTTATTTTTATTTTTATTTTATTAACGTCGATTATAGTTGCGATATACACGTAAGTATAAAAAAATAACCAACCATGTCCGAGTCAGGGTGCGGGTCGAAAGTACGGATAGAAATGGACGTGCATAATTACTGAAACATTACATTACCTGTATTTGCAAGTGGTTCTTATGCGAATTAATTTCATAAAGTAAAAAACTCGCACTGCGTGGTATAAAAACAACATTTCAACATTCTAACGTCAAACTCACTTGGCGATACAGTAAAATGGTCACGTTGAAGCATCTCCTGGTTCTGTGTCTTCTGTTTTCTATTGCAAAAACCAAAAAGGTACTTACTAGTTTTCTCCAGCTGTTTTTACGTATTTTTCTTGCAGTTGCCCGTCGCATTTCAAAAAATGTGGGTCGACCTTGCGGGTCGCTTCCAGGATGGGTGCGCTGCCGAGAACAATCTCGACGTGGAAGTCGCAAGGGGCATAA